TACCTTTTTGGCATTTCCATGGCCATACTTGAAGCTTTGATATGCCATACCAAAGTCCGTCACTTTGCAAACATAGTTGTTATCGAGGAGAATGTTTCGAGCCGCCAGGTCACGATGGATAATCTACCAGAAGATAAGAAGCCAGAATATAAAGGTTAAGAAACGATAGGTTTTTATAGTACAGCGGCGAATCAAACATCTGAGTATGTTTGAACGAAAAAAAGGCTCAAACTAAGGTAGCCCTATATAATGTTGTAATGCTGACAAAACCAAGATTTCTACTTTCTTTATCAAAAAAATTGGATTCTTTTACAACAGCGAAAATAACGATAATGATAATAATGATAAAGATTATAGTCATAACCATGCTAATAATCATAATAATTATGATAATAAAATGAAATTTAGAAGTAGTAAACCAACAGAGGACCCTTTGTGTTCCAAAAAAGAAAAAGACAAAATTATTTAATCTTTACCTTTGTTTCTTTTACAGATTTCTAAGGAGTTCCATTTTTACCTTTGTTTTGTTTTTTTTAGGTGTCGCAATAAGGTTTTATATATGTATATACATCGCTCTACTACTATGTATTGAGCACTGTTTTACGAAAGTCAAAATTTTACACACACACACACACACATATATATACATATGCGCTATCAGTGCATACGCGACCTTTGACAACTGCATGGGTCTGTTTTTTTACGCTTAATTTTACACCATCCCAGATAATCATAGCTGGGATTTTTTGAGGCGCGGGAACCGAATTATTATGAACCTTATTTTCGTTTCTTTTGGCTCTTTTTTTTTTTGACATCTGCGCTGACCTACTAATGTCAACAAAGAGGTTTATCTAATTCAAAAGCACTCATAAATGTTGGCCAAAATCCGAGCTATTGAAAAATAAAAAGTTTAAATCTCTGAAAGATTTTTCTGAGTTAGAATTGACATGTGACAAGTATTCTACTTACACCTCGCGTTCCAAGGAACACCATGCCGGCGGCGATTTGTTTGGCAAACAACACGAGATCGTAGTTGTTCAAATCCTGAGCTCTTCCCTCACCAAGATAAAACCGATCCCTCACTCCTCGGCATTTTCTGAGGTAACCAAGTAGGTCACCACATGGCAAGTACTCCATGATGAGTATGGGGTGAACTTAAGTGACGTATCAAAGATAAAATTACTGATGGCTTTCTTCATAAAGCAGTTTAGCTTACATGAAGGACTCATTTTTTTAGGATCTACCTTCATCAGAATTTACTTTAAAAACTTTGCAACAGGTTAAAGGGAGAAAGCCGGTTAGCCCCGTTAACGAGATTTCAAGCTATCCAACCGAAATCTTAATGAACTGTCGATGGATACATACTCTCGAAGAGAAACAGTCTGTTTGCCACAAAAAAAAAGACGAACTTGGCTCCATTAACATCCTAGTTACGGATCTCATGTTAAGAGCTCTCAAGAGGGTTCATTCAGCATTTATAGTATCGTTAATAACATATACTCAGAAAAGATGCTGTACGCTTAGTACTTACTTTCTGTCGTAACGCAGCCCATGAACTTTACAATGTTTGGCGAAACGTTTTCACCGATAAGTTTCCCCAGCTCAATTTCTCTCATCAAACATTTCCTTCCTTCCTCTCCAGCAGTGGCTACAACAAAAGTATACTTTGATAGAGACACATTCTGATTAATACATTTGTTGCATGCAGGTTCAAGCCAGAAAGAATCCGGTAGAGTTACAAACCTTGCATCTTCTTATTACCGTTTGGATGATAATTTTCGCAGCTAGGAGATTGCCCAACTCACTGACCTCAGCCATGGCTGAGTTGACTATGAGTATAAAGGCCGAATTGGAACCAGTTGAGGTTAAATCCTACCAATTTTTCTTACCTTCTTTAGTTTTGCCGTCACTGCAGATGCTTCACATCTTCCATTCGGTAAATGTCTTTTGCCAGCGAAAAGCACCGTGTAGTCAGTCTGTTAGACTGCCCACTCCAACTCGGGATAATCAGTCACTAGTAAGTGGGGAATAGGTCCAAAGGGAGAAAAAAATTCTACTGGATTCAGCAGCGGATCTCCCCCCCCGGAGGAGTGGGGTGTTGCGGATATTAACCCATATTAACCCCCTTCTAACCTATGCTTGTGACCTTTTACACTACTTGTTGGAAACAAGAATTATTGCAGGACCACTTTTACGATCAAACTGGTTGATTATCTTCTCTGTTTGTTTGCTCCCCCCGCCTTCTTCTATTTTTTCCCGCGCGTAACCTTGAGTGAAGAAGAGGGGGGTGTGCGTGGGTCGATAAGTAATTTTGGACCACGCCTTCCCCCCCCCTCCCCAAATGAAACATTTTTATAACCACCCCAGAGATCAACATATGTATCAATAGAACAAATTGAAGGTGGCTTACGCGTGAAACATTTAGCGGCCACCGTCCGATTTCCAGGTTGTCCATTTGGTGAACTCAGGAGAGCTCTCCACACGGCTCCAAACGCCCCTCGTCCAATGACGTCTTGTAGCAGGACACGGTTCACCGCAACCTCCCACTCATCTACCTCTGCATTCAATGGCTCCATCTGAATTGCCTGCTCTTGGTCAGGACTAAATGTAGAAAATCAACATTGCTTACTTTCAGGTTCAAAACAAAGAAAAGTGATAAAAAGAAAAGAGAAATCAGAGAGTAAAAAAATTCGTTTGCCAGGATAACTTGATTGGCGAGATAATCTCTCTTGCCGATAGTGAGAGAACAATGTTTTCACTATACCAAAAACATAAATTATTACAAAACATATTAGTAATTGTTGTTATTTAAGTACACTATGTCAATCGGATGTTTGTTAAAACCAAAAAAGAAACAGTTCGTTTTAAAATCAGAAATTTTACTTATTTAATTAAATTTTTTTTTGCATTTCGATTTTTATTTCAAAGTATTAAATATATGGATTAATCTAACTGAAAATATATGGAAGGTACTAAAGAGATAAAGAAATTAAACAAAGGAACTAATGAAGCTGATTCTAAAAACACATAATAAATGTTAATAATGCATCACAAACACGATGAGCACGATAAAAGTAATTACTGCGATATGATTTTCGTTATCGTCATCATGCAATGGGGGATTTTTTTCCCGATGAATTTGATGAATGAAAGGTAAAGTAGTTGACTTACAGAGCCATAGCTGCAATTCCAAATAATGAATTAAAGGAGATAAAGAAGGAAAAACTTTGCATTAATTTATTAAATCAAATATTCTAATAAAAATTCTGTGTAGTGGCAGGAAATTGGAATCTGCACAAATTAGGAGTGACGTGATATTTGCTGAATTTAAATTATTATCAATAAATATACAAATGTGAAAAACTCTGCAATTAGCAATTTTTGGCCGCACGCGAGTAATTCTTCTAAAAATATCTCTTCTCTCAGACTCGTAGCTCAGTGTTCCCCATCCCCCCAATAGACATGTTTAATAAGTTTAAACATTTCCTTCTTTTACTTTCAGACAAAGCAATCTGAAATAACGCAGAAAAATAGACGTCACCTGTCCTTCGACGCTTGCGGAAATACCAGGAAATTAGCGAAATGACAACCGCTGCCGCCACTGATCCGCCAATGTAATACCATAAAGTGTTGAAACTTTGCACTTGCTTAGCTAATTGTGTAAGGTAGATAAATGACCATTAGACAAATCTCGACGGTAGTAAAAGTACTAATAAAATTCAAGTTGTTTGAAATAGCTTTGCCCATTATTTAACTCGTGATTGACACCTGCTCTTTGAAAGGAAATACCTGAAGTTCATTGAGCGATGTGAGGTTATTTCATGTAAATGGGTCAGGTGACCTATATTTGTTTCGTCTTTAACTGATAAACAGTTTTCATCTATTTGAAAATATATTTCTTAATCAGTAAAGTTGTATTTTCTTAAGACACAACGGTAACACCAACTTACCTATGACGTTTATTTTTACAAAGGAACGGGCAACAAAACCGAGCTTGTTACGTGCCTCACAAGAATACACACCACTGTCCTCCTTCACAACTTCAGTTATAGCAAGTTCACTCATTTTTTCATCGAATCGTGTATGAATCTTTGCTCTTTCGGGTGGTGAGTTTCCATCTTTTTTCCAAGTCACATTTATTGTTTCTTCGTTGACGATGCAGGCCAATGTGAGATTGTCACCTGCTGTGAGTGCTGGATACTTACCTGGAACAACTTGAGCAGAGGCTTTTCCTACGTAAAGAAAAAGGCAATAGATTAAAATCGTGTTCCACATTTGTCACCCTCACCGTCAGCAGCAGTTCAGTGTCAGCGTCACATCGTCGTCATCGCCATGGTTATCGTCGGCATCGTCATCACGGTCAACGGCAGCGTCAGCGTCATCGCAATCGTCATGGCCATCGTCATCGTTATCGTCATTATCATTAAACTTACCGTAAACACGCAGTGCTTTGCCCATTACTTAACTCGTGATTGACACCTTCTCTTTGAAACGAAATACCTGAAGTTCATAGAGCGATGTAAGGTTATTTCATGTATCCATTTACATGAAATAACCTTGCATCGCTCTATGAACTTCAGGTATTTCGTTTCAAAGAGAAGGTGTCAATCACGAGTTAAGTAATGGGCAAAGCTATTCCAAACAACAACAGAAAATAAAGCAAATACAAGTAGTTCCTCTGCAACACTGCGTGTTTACGGTAAGTTTAATGATAACGACGATAACGATGACGATGACGATGACGCTGACCGTGATTATGACGCCGATGATAACCATGGCGATGACCCATATTTGTTTCGTCTTTAACTGATAAACAGTTTTCATCTATTTGAAAATATATTTTTTAATTAGTAAAGTTGCATTTTTTTAAGACACAACGGTAACACCAACTTACCTATGACGTTTATTTTTACAGAGGAACGGGCAACAAAACCGAGCTTGTTACGTGCCTCACAAGAATACACACCACTGTCCTCCTTCACAACTTCAGTTGTTGCAAGTTCACTCTTTTTGTTATCGAATCGTGTATGAATCTTTGCTCTTTCGGGTGGTGAGTCTCCATTTTTTTTCCAAGTTACATTTATTGTTTCTTCGTTGACGATGCAGGCCAATGTGAGATTGTCACCTGCTGTGAGTGCTGGATACTGATCTGTAGCAACTTGAGCAGAGGCTTTCCCTACGTTAAGAAAAAGGCAATTGATTAAAATCGTGGTCCACATTTGTCACCCTCACCGTCAGCAGCAGTTCAGTGTCAGCGTCACATCATCGTCATCGCCATGGTTATTGTCGGCGTCATCATCACGGTTAGCGTCAGCGTCATCGTAATCGTCATCGTTATCGTCATTATCATTAAACTTACCGTTAACACCCAGTGTTGCAGAGGAACTAGTTCTATTTGCTTCATTTTCCGTCGTTGTTTGGAATAGCTTTGTCTATTATTTAACGTGTGATTGACACCTGCTCTTTGAAATGAAATACCTGAAGTTCATAGAGCGATGTAACGTAATTTCATGTAAATGGATCAGGTGACCCTTATTGTTTCGTCTTTAACTGATTAACAGTTTTAATCTATTTGGAGATACAATTTTTAATCAGTATCGTTGTATTTTTTTAAGACACAGCGGTAACACCAACTTACCTATGACGTTTATTTTTACAAAGGAACGGGCAACAAAACCGAGCTTGTCACGTGCCTCACAAGAATACACACCACTGTCTTCCTTCACAACTTCAGTTATTGCAAGTTCACTCTTTTTGTTATCGAACCGTGTATGAATCTTTGCTCTTTTGGGCGGTGAGTCTCCATCTTTTTTCCAAGTTACATTTATTGTTTCTTCGTTAACGATGCAGGTCAATGTGAGATTGTCACCTGCTGTGAGTGCTGGATACTGATCTGTAGCAACTTGAGCAGAGGCTTTCCCTACGTCAAGAAAAAGGCAATTGATTAAAATCGTGGTCCACCTTTGTCACCCTCACCGTCAGCAGCAGTTCAGTGTCAGCGTCACATCGTCGTCATCGCCATGGTCATCGTCGGCATCATCATCACGGTCAACGGCAGCGTCAGCGTCATCGCAATCGTCATGGCCATCGTCATCGTTATCGTCATTATCATTAAACTTACCGTAAACACGCAGTGTTGCAGAGGAACTAGTTGTATTTGCTGTATTTTCCGCTATACACTTGTAAGACCCTTCCATCCCTTTTGTGACGCTTAAAAATTCCAGGAATGATACTCCATCGCGATTTATACCAAATGGCAGCTCAGCATCATTAAAAACCCAGACTAATGTTGGTGTTGGCACACCTGAGGCTCGACAACTGAAGTTCACAGAGTTTCCTTCCGTAACAGACTGGTTGATCGGAGGTTCTATAATCTGGGGAGATACTTGAATTAAAAAAACCCCAAAATTAATAAGGTTTGCATAGTCCATTTCAACCCCATTTAACCAACCTTTGATAAAACGACGAAACAACAACAACAAAACATCAAAACAAAAAAAGTGATGTTCAAGCCTATTTTTGACTAAGGTCAATTTTTTCGAAAGGTTTTCTTCTCGTTCAGCATAAAAATATATTGTTTAGCCTTAAGTTGTCCCATGTGTCCCAGTAACATTCATCCGTTTCTTTTTGGTTGTTGAGTGTGATGTTAAAACATATATGTTCAATGAATATCAGTTTCATCTTTTAACAATATACATATACATATTTATAATAAAGTTCGAATATAACGCGCGCTGTCATTGGTTGAAAGAGCGTGCTCTATGAGAGTATAGAGCATAGAGCGTAGCTACAGCTGTCACGCCATAACATACTAGGCGCCGTAATTTACGTTATTAAAACGTGAGCAGATACGAAAATCCTCAAAGGAAAAACAAAATAAACATTCCGAGTTT